TACCCAGGAGTACAAAAATTATGGTTGAGAGGCTTGTGAATGGCTCATGGAAACCATTCATGGCAGATGATGTGCAGATGGAATTTGTTCGCATTGACCCATTCATCAGGTTGACCATGACACCCAGTACTGAAGGGGTTTTCTCAGTCAAGTTCACGGTAAAGAGAATATATGGCTATTTCTCTTTTATATTAAATGTAGAAAAATTGTCATAATTCTTTTATTTTGTATTATGTCATTATTTTACTGACAGTTCTGCTTAATGTATAAAATCAAGTACTTCATTTCATTGTAATTTTCTATAAAAAAAAATCTTAATAATGTTAGTATTTTCACATTTGATGTAGTTTTCCATACATTTTTGGTTATTCCTACATTGTACCATTTATGTCACAGCTGTGTAATATGGTTGTACAACTTTGTAATTTGGCAGTCATGAGGTCTGTTCACTTCGTTAAAATTACATTATATGATTACAGGTACCTGATGTCTATGGTGTTTACCAGTTCAAGGTGGAGTACAATCGTGTTGGTTTTACACGTCTTTTCAGTTCCACTCAGGTCAGTATCACAAATCCAGTTGCACACACTTGTAATCTGTCATTCTTTTTTTAATGGAGGATACAAGTTTTTAAATCTTTCTTGAAATTTAAGAATCATTAAATGTTAAACTCATAAACATAAACTCATAAAGGTAAAACCATTTTAAGCTGGAAAAACAGGTTTTTGAATCCCCTGTTTTTCAGTGTATCTATGTATATATACATTTCTAATAAATTTTATACATGTATTTTCAGGTATCAGTTCGACCATTCACTCACCGAGAATATGAGAGATTTATTGAGTGTGCCTACCCATATTATGCTAGTGCCTTCTCCATGATGTTTGGTGTATGGTTATTTTCCATGGTTTTCTTGCACCACAAAGAACCTATCCCCAAACGTAAGGCTGAATAAGGTTGCTTGTTTGACCTAACAGAACTAGTTAACTTAACCATTCCTGCTGTTTCTTTCAGCTGTTGTTTGTGTAGAAAAGATACATAAGAAGCATATTCATAAATTTACATTTGGTAACTAGAGGATTTTTCATGAATCTTAATATTGATATACTGTATTTTGGAGCTTAATGTAAATATATTGATGTAATTTTCAATATAATATGATCTTGTGTAAGCTTGTTTTCATCACCTTTAAACTTGCTGTCTTTTTTTCTTTCTTTTTCTTTTTTTTTTTTTTAATATCACAATATATGGCTAAAAGGTACATAGTTTTTTCTTTGTTATATGTGAAATAACTTGCATATTTCATCATGTGAACTTGTAATTGTTATCTCTGCCAGTAAAACTACTTGAAAGAAAATTCTTTCCTTTATGCCCCATCAGACATTTTTTTATGGTGCACATCTTGGAGAGTTGTAGAAAACACCATAAATAAAAGGTTATATTTCAAATATTGTCCAGTTTGAAGACATCTATTCCTTTCCCAAAATATCCCAGTTAAGTTTTCTAATACATTCATACTAATTTTCCAAGTTGGTGAAATAATGGTCGGTATTGAGGATCATTCTTCAGCACAGGGACTTTAAGATTAGAGATGGAAGTTTACTATACATTGAAATTCCATGCCTCATATTTATATTTTGTTAAAAAAAAATAGTAGATTTACTAAGGTATGGCATTGGACTTCCATCATTCATATAATGAAGACTATCACAATTGTACTGCTTATTGTATTTGTATGGCAGGTAATGTTAATGAAATAAATTGGAAACTACAATGAGTATGATTTTTTACAAAAGTATAAATGCAGTCATATAGCTTTCTCGTGTTATGAGAGAGAGCTTAGCAATATATAACCAGTTACAATTTTTGTTTGTTAACATTGCCTTGATATGAGGAATTCACATTCAGAGATTGTCAAGAATGAGCTTAAACAATATGGCTGCTAGGTTGTGCATTAAGATGTGTTACAGAACTTTATCTTGAATGTGAAATAGTTACTCACTTTGTGGCCCATAATTCTATATAATAAATTGTTTGATCAAATGCAGGAATGGGTTGCCATTTGTACTCAAAATCTAAAGAATCTGTATAGACAAAGTGCCTATTTACCTTTCCTGGCCAACTTGACCAGCAACAGTGAATGCAGATATATTTATTTGATGATAAAACAGGTTATAAAATTGAACTGTAAAGTGTAGTTACTACTGGGAAAGTATTTAGTTGCAATTCAGGTTCTTTACAGAATACATTTTTCACATTGGACAAACCTTGTTGTTTTCAGATTTGCTACTGCTGTGATGACATTTACAATCATATGAAGAATAAGTTCTATTATAGGCTGCCAGAGAGAATTGTAACAAAAGCAAAGGAACAATAAATAGATATATAATAATGTCACACTTTGAATGAAATACACTTAGAGCATTTTATGCTCTTAAGGTTAAGAATTGCACCGTTCCCTGCTTAAAACAACCACACCCCCCCAATCCCTTGCCCGTTGTTGTCGTGGGGGGGCTTAGGAGGCGGAGACTGGGACCCAATGATGGGGAACTCCCCAACCTTGGGACTCAGCCCTCGACTCAACTAATTATGCATGGTCTTTTTTTTCCCTTCCCACTTTTGTTTCTGTCCCTTCACCAAACCCTTCTGCTATCCACCTCCTAAGGTGTGAGAGCCGTGCTGAAAGGATGAAAGGCTGACTTTGTGCCAGTCCTGAACGGCCTGAGGGAGCCATGGGCACGGTATTCCCCTGATTTAGTTATCTAGCCCTTACCCCTCAAGGGGACCCTGAGGGGTGGACTGCTTTTATCCCCAACATAATCCAGGCTTCCCATGGCCAGTAATGAAAATATATCCCCACTGTTAGGGGCAATGAGGCTTGCCCCTTTATCAAATAGCCCCAACGAAGTAAACCCACCCGATTCCCCGACCCCAGGCTCTCCTTTGACCACGGCTCCAAACACTGCAATAACTACCCCTTCACCAATGCCTACTAGTACAGTAGCCAACAATCAACCCTCAAGGGACATTTCCACTCTCCCAGCATGCCCAACTTCAACACCTCTACCCCCACAACCTCCAACATCAACCACCCCATCCTCCCTTATTAATACCTTACAGCCTTATAGCCCACCTCTCCATAACACTACCTCCATCAACACTACTCCATCTTCGTCACGCCCTCGCCCTTCTACCACCCCTATCTCTAAAACAATCTTGAATACTCTCTTCAGTGCAGCCAAATGGGACCGATTTTTCGTGATCCCTCCCACAGCTCCCTACTCTAACAACACCCTTCTCTTCCAACAATGCCTCCAAAAACAAGTAGGTAAAGTCTCTTTCCGTAGCCGACCCGACCGCTCCCGTCTTGTAACAGTAACATCCGAAAACCAAGCCATAGCATTAACAAAACTAACTGACCTATATGGTAACCCCATCCTAGCAGAACCCCATCCAACCCTCAATACTTGCACCGGAACAGTCTCAATCTCACCAACAAATTGCCCAATCTATGACAAAAAATGGTCAGATTGTGGAGAAGATCTACTTGCCTGTCTCACAGACTACGATGCAACATCAGTACAATGCTATTCCATCCCCCCCAGAGGTCATCGAAAGAAACCCACTAACATAGCCAAAATTACCTTCCGTAGACATGACCTTCCCTTTAACGTCTACATAGGAGGAGAATCCCTCCCTGTTCGTCCATACCAACCTCCTCCACGTCAGTGCCAAAATTGTTGGCGTCTAGGACACCCAGCCAAACACTGCCGTTCCACAGCCAGATGCCCATTATGTGCCCAACCTGGCCATACCCGATCTAACTGCTCTGCACAATCACGCACATGTGCCAACTGTGGCGGCCCCCATAATGTATTTTATAGGGGCTGTCCCACCTACAAATTTGAATCTGAGGTAGCAACTCTCAGATTCAAACTCGGACTCACACTGCGTGAAGCCAGACAGGAAGCACGTCGACGTGGATTCTCTCTTACTCCCTACTCCAGTAATACTGCTCATCCTAACACTTCTCCTAAACCCACCCCTCCTACATCTAACCCCCCCACTAACCCCACCTACCTTCCCCAGTCAAACTCTTTTGCCATCCTAAATCCAGAAACTCCAATCTCTACTACAGATACTCCAATCACCACTACAACCCCAACACCTTCCCCTCTCCCTCCTCGCACTCCCCGTAACAGACAGAACAAACGTTCCACCCCCTCTTCCCCTACCACACAATCACCCCCACCATCCTTTGCCCGTACTCTTGAGACACCAGTCCTCTCTTCCCCCCCTCACAAGAAATCCTTTATCCCCCAAAACTCCCCAACCAACTCCACAGAAGAAACTATTGAAAATATTCAAGATTACTTAATGAAAACCGACACTCAACCTACAACTCCTGCTCCTTCCACACTCCAAGTAATTGCTGATATCCATCCTCCTCCTAACGATATCCCCCCTACACCCTACCCTCCTACCCCCTCCCAACACAGCCCATCCCCCCTGACCCCAACCCTGCCCACATTAACTCTCCCACCATCCCCTCTATCCCTTCCACTCCCTCCTGGATACACACGTGAATCCCTTATGTCACAAGTATCCCCTTCCTCAGACCCTCCATCTCCTACTACCCCTCCTGATAGAACACCAACTCCCACACCTCTCCCATCTCAAACCTCTCAGTCCTTATCCCACCCTCTAGCTGCTTCCCCTTCAAATTCTCCAACACGTACTACAATCTATATCACTAAATCAACGAAAGTATAACTATCCTTCATTGGAATATTCGCGGTTTCCGCTCCCACAGACCTGACCATCATATCCTTTCCTCTTATAACCCATCTATTGTATGCCTCAAGAAACCTTTCTTATGCATACCCTTTATCTAATATAACACCCGACCTTAACCCTTTCACTCACTAATTCCTTTGCCCAGCTTAGACAACTAATCACTAACTCAACCACCCTTCACTAACATTAACTATAGTGCTACATGACCTTAGATGTCTAGCACATTTATCTTGCTTTTAACCATTAACCATTAACCATTAAAACAACCACTGAAGTCTGAGCAGTGTGGCTAATCTACATGAAAGGCATCAAGCCTAAATAAGTCTACACTTAAATTCCAGTATCTACCACAAGAAAAATTATCAATCGATATACTTACCTTAACATCTTTACAAAGCATAATATTTTCTCGAAGATGCATATACGGCCCCCCTAAAATATTGAAAATATCAGTTAGTCACAGAATTGACCATAGGAATGGCAAAAAGAGAAAAATTATTACAAAGTGAAAAAGACCATAGGGATATCCTAGTATTAGATATTATTTTCACTGAATGAAATAGATGTGGTAGATACTGATTGATACACTTGTTATCTCTGATTCCTAACACTGTCATCATGTGAAACAATTCTTTTGTTTACACAGCATTCAATATTTCTTCAAATGATTTGTTTATTAAAAATTCTTTAGTATGAATAGTCTCATAATAATTTATGTTATGATATAATCTTATCTACTTATGAAATACCAAATTTATATAGATAGATATATCTTGTCACCTGGATTCGTTTTACTGGCAAATAGTTCAATTTTCAATAACCTGAATGCAGTATTTGATACATATAATTGTTAAATGCTGCAATATGCATACATTAAATTTTAATCATCAGGATATTGAGATTACCTTTCCATATCAACGTATATTGAAAAAAATACAAGATGCAACAGGCAGTCAATCAAGCCATGATCTGTGGTCAAACTGAACAGAGGAGTACATCGCTAAAGTACTGAAAAAATATACACTATATATTTAAATAAAAATCGATGTTATTTTAATCAATCCGTGCAGTGAAATAGAATGCCACAAACTAGCATTAAGAGGCCTGCAACAGTGATTCTAGCGGTGTTGCAGCAAAGGGCACAAACACGTTCAGAGTGTATTCTGACAAGTTAATGTTTGTAGATCGATCATCCTGGAAATCATGGTCTTGTAAATTCGGCCGAAGCTCTATGCTGCATTTGGGCGTTTTAAGTTCGCGCCATAAAATGTCGTCCAGTATTAAATTTTAAGCCAGATTTCAAATACGCATGCAAAAACAAGTAGGCAAAGCCTCTTTCCGTAGCCGACCCGACCGCTCCCATATCGTCACAGTAACATCCGAAAACCAAGCTATAGCATTAGCAAAACTAACTGATCTATATGGTAACCATATCCTTGCAGAACCCCATCCAACCCTCAATACTTGCACTGGAACTGTTTCTATCTCCACAGCAAACTGCCCAATCTATGACAAAGATTGGTCAGATTGTGGAGAAGACTTACTCGCCTGCCTCACAGA